CTGCGAAGAACGATGTTTGCTTTGGAAAAAAATGCTTCTAATAGCTTCTTGTTCCTAGTAGCGTCCTTGCTCCGTTCGTAGCGATGCCAGGAGCCCCTAGTTGCGTCCTTGTTGCTAATACATAGCCTGGCTCAAAGAACCTCAGAGTTCCGTGTGAAGCAGCTCTTCTCAGGATTGAAACAACAAGTCCAAGAAGTGCTAGGCTCCAACAGTTCCAGTGATTCATTTATAGGTTGGAGGCCTTTGCTATTAACGAGAAGCTACTAGTACCAAAGGGCATCGCTACTAGGAGCGATCGGACGCTACTAGGGGCGCTCCTACTAGTAACAAGAACGCTACTAGGAGCAAAGGGCCTTACTACTAGTAACAAGAAGCTACTAGTAGCTCCTGGCATTACTAGTAGTAACAAGAAGCTACTAGAGGCACAGCCTTTCTTTCTCGGATCCTCTGAAAGCGCCTCCTCGAGGAGTGCCATCAGTCTGGCCATCTTGCCACTGTTCCTTACAGCGGTGAGGCACAGCCTCCAGCCCAGCCATTGAGTTGATGCCCTATATCAACCTGGGTTGATATGGCCTCCAACCTACAAGCGATTGCCTCCAACCTAATTGGGTTGATATTGGATGAATACAGGGACATGCAACCTTCAAAATCAGTATGTTCAGCATGTTGGTTGACAGGCCAAATCGATACAGTTGGTGACTTGATTTCCCGACATCTTTTCTGTTCTTCTTCCCCCTCACTACTAGGCTGGTCGCTCTACTTGAAGGGAGCCCCGATCCGAGAAAATCGCTGGTACTTGACATGTCTGCCTGCTGCTCTTCCATCCATTCTCTGATTCCTTTACCGCAGAGAATGAAGAAAGTGGTGGGTGGGAAAAAGGGATGGAAGAAATAGAAAGAACAAAATGCAAGGCTGAGGAAGCATTCCATCATGCTGGCAATGGTTGAAGCTTTGATGCATGAGAGTCACTCTGTGCGGCAGGGTATGGAGGAGAAGCAGAATGAAGGAAAATGATGTTCTTGTCTGTCCGAGCTCTTCGGGAAGGTTCTTGTGGACAAACAGAGTCCAGAACCACTGCTTGCCTGCTTGCCTGCTTGCGCTTCTTCCTAAGCTTTTGGATACAATAAGAACTTGATAGAATGCACTCAACCGTCCATCTCCTGCTGACGGGCATGGAAGTGGTTTTCCCAGCCAGGACAATCTTGAAAATGGAGGAGCAAACAGCATCTGCTACCAGACTAGCAACTAGATTGCTGGAGTGGAGGTCAGGGAGAGAGGAAGAATAACGATGTTTTTTTTATGACCCTTGATCTTCATTACAGAAGTGGATGGCAAGTGGTGCATGTTTCACAAATCCTTAAGGCCAACTGAGCCTCGTGAAGATGACGCTAAAAAATTGGGGCAGTCTCAAGGGAATGAATGGTACTGGAGGCCATCGCTAGTAGGTTGGAGGCCCGCAATGGATCGAGCTTTTCGGGTGCTTACCTTTGTGACCAATCTACCAATCTACCTTGAAAAGCTTCAGGTCTTGGACAAAGAACACAACAACCAAACATAGAAAGGTTTTGCCGTTTTCTTTTTTCTGTGATTACATCGAACATATCTGTGACAGATGGTCACAAATGGACCTCCCCCCCCTAAGAGCGATGGCCTCCCAACCTACGACCATCGCGGCGGTGACGAAACGACCAATAAAGGTCCTGGTAGCTTTTCTGTTCCAATTCTAGTGAAATTCTAATTCTTGTTCCTAATAGCAAACATTGGTCCTAGTAGCGTCCGATCGCTCCGTTCGTAGCGATGCCCTCTGCGTCCTCGTTGAACAAAAATAGGTCCCCCCCGCTCGGGCCGCTCATCGAAGTGGCTCTCTTCGAAAGACACATGGCTGGGCCTCAGCTCCGCTTGGCTCCGTATCTGTTGTCCACAAGTCATAGACACAGAAAAAGTGTTTAAGTTCTCTCTCTGTCTCATGACAATTTTTTTAATTAGACTGTTGTTTTCTGATGTGTGATGATGTGTGTTCTTTAAAAATTGCCCTCGTCTATATGTCCAAATGCAAATGCCAGTTCCAGTGATCCCTATGCATTCCTCAAGAGCTCCTGATGGGCCGTAGGTCTTACCATGTTTTCTCTCTTACAGATTCACAATCTTTCAAGTCAACAAGGGTCTTCAGCTCTGTGTCCTAAAAACAGCATCCTGTTGGATTTGATACACCACTCAGAGACTCAAAACAACGCCCTGCCACGGCCACCCGTGACCACCAAGACTCCAATGTTTGCTCCCAAGTGCTCGTGGATGGTTGCAAACTTGCTGCAGAGCATGCAGCATAGCCAGCACCTCAAGCATCCAAGAGTTCGGATTCCGATATGGAAAAAACAACATATCCCCGGCAAAGCGACGAGATACATGGGAAGTGGTTGAATTAAAAGAACAACAGCATTGTGTGCGCTGGTGGCAAGATTAGATCGAAAACATATCAGCACACAAATGGGAGCGCACAAACGAGTGCACTTCTACTTCTACTAGACCGCATATATGGCCCACGTGTGAGGACACACAAATATGATCGCGCGAGAGGACCGGTGTGAACCAACTCATCTATGACATAAAATGGGAGCTTCAAACGAGAACACATCAGAGGGCACACAAACACGAGAAAAAAATGTGAAACATCTAAAAATGAGAGCACCAGATAGGAGAGCACACGTACGTCGACAAACGTGTGAAACCACACAACTCAGAGAGCACACCTTAGACTCACTCTGACTTAGGGATCGGAAGCCTGCGCGCCGAAGTCCACAAATGGAACACGTGCCACGAAATCTGCACATCGCTGCCTCCAAAGAAATCTGCACTCCATAACCATCGAGGCCTGCCGCGTCGCGAAACGGAAGGACAGTGGCAGCATGTTTATTGAGCGCCGCATTTCCAGGTTCCTGTCACACACACCACGCTTCCCTTCACTGCAAACAGCATGTCCGTCGAAATTCGGAACACGCTGGACAAGGTGCGAGGAAAATAGGACTCACCTCCTTCCAAAGCAACCTCCAACCTACTAGCGATGGCCCACTGGCCTCCAACCTACGAGCGATGGCCTTCTCCCAAAGCTGATAGTGCTTGCAATTGGCGCGTTCACATCTCTCAAGAGCCGGACACACGGTCCTGCCCTGCAACCTTTTACCTTCACAGTGGCCTCAGCCTCTGCCTGCTGGAGTAGCATTGACGGTTGGTGCGTACTGAGAATGTCGGGGGCATGTTGGTCTCCGCATATGATTTAGCGACCTCGGTCCGGAGATCACGCTGTGACTGCTGGTCCCATCCTCACACTGGTCAGAAAACATAAGCTTTGTAGCACCGTTCGCTGAAGGACAGGGAAACCATGAGCCTCAATTCCAAGCATGGCGGGGTGCAAGCCATGAACAGGACAAATCCAAACCTGCCTGAGCCGAATGATTAGACAAGCACTTTGCTGCCTCCGTCAGCCACTGGAATCAACATCCAGTCTACCAAGTACAGCTTATTGTGTGGGTCACTCTCACTCCTCTGTTGGTTTGATTCAGCCAGGGTCACTTGGTCACACCAAGAAGGCAGTCTGGGTAGGGGAGAGTTCAACGCGGGCAAAGACCAGGCAAAGACCAGGCTTCCATACAGCTTGACGCCAAACGTCGTCAACCAAAACGTCAACCCAAACATCGATCACCCATGGCTGAAATATGAATGAATATGTTGATGTCCAAATCATAGGCCGAATGATAGGCATTGGTTTGCCATCGACTCAGCAGCTGGCCCCAATGTATGTCCAAGCACAAAACATGGGCACATTGCTACAACACGAGCACCTCTGCAAACTTCAATGTCTGAGCAATCCCAATTCCCCGACCCGGAGCCAAGATTCCAGGATTGCAACTAGAAGCGATGGCCTCCAACCTACTAGTGATGGCCTCCAACCTGATTGCAACTCTCCAAGATTCTATAGGGAGAACTAGAACTGTTGCACAAGTCTGGCAGCACCGCGGAGGGAAAAACCTCAATCTAGACCAGACCTTTATACTTTTCCCACACCGCTTAGGTCAAAATGAAAAGGAAAAAAAGAAAGAAAGGTCCATTGTCGAGAGCCTACAGTACAATAAAAAAGAAACCCTCAGGAGAGATGAACTGACTGTGCCTGCTTCGCCCGGATGTTGATGCTCCCCGCTACCTCAGAGATATCACACTTCAATAGTTCGTCTTTCGACATTCAACTCAAAATTCTTTCAGTAACAAGTGCCACGCTAGTAGTAACAAGTGCCTTACTACTAGTAACAAGTGCCACGCTAGTAGGGTGGAGGCCATCACTATTAGCCTCTATCTCGCCCGCTTACATTGCAGGCTCTTCAACATGTTTTTGGCGTGTCAGCGTGTCTGGGGGTGGAAGCGTCAAAACAAGATCGAAACGGCTGTGTACTCAAAGGATGCGCTCCTTGCGTTCATCGGGAATACACTATAGTCTATAGTATGCTATGCTTCTTGAACCGCCTGCGTGAGAGTAAGGGGTAGCTGTCTTCGGCTTTGGAGAATCTGATCGAAGCATTCTAACGTCAAGGCAAACGTCACGAGATCGGAGTTGGTCTGGCGTCTGAAGAATCGATTTCAGGCCATAGTTTGCAGCTTTGCTTTGTCTGGCCTGATTCTCAGCTCCTTCTGTCCCTAGTTGCAGCTTTTCCTGAGAGGCCGAGGAAAAAATCCATAGCACTGCGACAAATGGAATTACCCCCAGTTCAACAACGCATTTGAACATCTATGGAGGTCGCATGCACATTCTGGAGTCCGACATCTTTAGAGACGCATACATGCCACCATCGACACTCAAGAACGACAGTGAATTAGTGAATTAGGCAAAAGGCTGGACCACGTCAGCTTCAAAACAGCGACTACCTAGCCGGAAAGGCGCGTATTATAAGCGGTCATTTGTTGGCAACTTGAAGTTTTCTAACTACGTCTTGAGTCTTGTGTTCAGAAGGTACGTAGATCAAGGATCCAAGCTAAATCCAATGAGCCCCTTTCCGCCTCTGTCTCTACAGCAACCTCTTCTAAAGCTTTTTCCAGCTCCAGCTTCTTCACTGCCTGCACTGATGATTGCAGAAGAGAGAGGGAGAAAGAAAACTAAACGGAAGGAAATGCAAAACAATGAGAAGAAGAAAAATCAAGTAGGCAGAAGGCAAAACATGTCCTACATGTTATGAAAACGACCACGTCTGCTTGACAGTGGCCAAGTAGAGCCAGCCTCGTACAAGGTTTGCTGGCCGCTCGTTAGCATCACAGTGTGGGTCTTGGCGAATCCGTGGGGAGAGTAGGTTGGAGGCCATCGCTAGTAGGAGCGATCAGATGATCAGACGCTACTAGGGGCTCCTGGCCTTACTACTAGAAACAAGAAGCTACTAGTAACAAGTGCATCGCTTCTAGTAACAAGTGCCTTACTAGTAGTAACAAGACGCTACTAGGGACTCCTGGCATCGCTACTAGGAGCAACGACGCTAGTAGGTTGGAGGCCATCGCTAGTAGGTTAGCAGCACAGTGTGGGTCTTGGAGAGTCCGTGTGTGGCGTTGCATCACCGCTCGGACATGTCAGAGTCCGTGGAGTGTTTTGGGCACCGAGAAGACACGCTTTTGTTTCTCAATTATTTTCTGTGCTCCTAGTAGCGTCCTTGCTCCTAGTAGCGATGCCCGGAGCCCCTAGTAGCTTCTTGCTCCTATGTGTTTGATGTTTCTCTCTTATCTGTTTGCTTTCGACTCAGACCATCTTAGACCTTGCTTTTGTCTTTCTACATTTTTCTCCAGCACGATTCACAACTGTAGAACAGGAACAAACCTGATATCACACAGAACTGGAGCCTCCGAACATTGTTAGTTCTTTGCAAATCTTCGCAGAATTTCTAGGCTCTAGAAATTGTCCACTTCCGAACTTGGCTAAGATACAGTTGACCCACAGAAACAACCCAGTAGCTTCTCTTACATGCAAGACAACGTGATTGTATAGTACCAAGTCGAGAACGTTTAGTTGGCTATATACTATAGATGAAGTACTAAAATGTACTAGTTAAGTTTGAAAAAAAACATCTATATAGGAACCAAATCGTGTGAGCGCGACAGGGCGGCGGGGGGGAAGTTTCCTTGAAGAAGCGCGAGCTATCCCGCGTCTATACTTAAGCTACCTCCTACCTCTACTACCTCTACTACCTCTACACGGCCTATCCTCAATCTAAACAGCAATCCCGAGGCTCAGACTAACTCAATCTTGGGCGGCAGATCTGCTGCCACCGCCTCGTCGCTCTTGCACCGCCGCAGGACGAAGGGTCGGATCGCGTGGCTCAAGCGGCTCCGCAAGGCCTGCCTCGGGGCGTCCAAACCACACTGAAAACTTCTTGTTCCTAGTAGTAACAAGTGCATCGCTAGTAGTAACAAGTGCCTTACTGGTAGTAACAAGAAGCTAGTAATTACAATTCTAATTAAACTCTTCTTGTTCCTAGTAGCAAACATTGTTCCTCGTAGTAAGGCCAGGAGCCCCTAGTAGCGTCCTTGCTCCTAGTAGTAAGGCCAGGAGCCCCTAGTAGCTTCTTAAAGGGGCCAACCGGCAAAGTCTGAAAAGGCACTTAAACACATACTTAAACTCCTAAATTCTCCCACTAACGTTGTGCATTGCCAAGTCTTACTTGCTTCCGCAAAGACTAAGACTCAGTGAATAAGAAAGCACGTTCGATGCCAAACAGTACACACTGCTGTGGCGCTCGGAGGTTTTGAGAGCATGAATTGGAGGCTCTGAATACACATTTGCATCACCCATTGAAATTCTGATTGTATCAAACTGATTGAAATTCTGGTCAGAGCATTCTTGACAAGTCAAAATGTGAATATGAAAGCTGCCGTCAAAAATATGGGCTTTGCCATTGAACACAGAGGTTCAGCGTTGTTCTTCCTGCAAATAGATAAAAGCTCTTAAGGCTGTGGATCTGACAGTCGTGCGTGACTGTCTTTTCTTCATGACTTCGGCAATGCTTGTTAGCCTTTTGCCGAAACAATGCCAATAGCTACTAGTAGCGTCCTTGCTCCTAGTAGTATGGCCACCCCTAGTAGCTTCTTGTTACTACTAGTAAGGCACTTGTTACTAGAAGCGATGCACTTGTTCCTAGTAGCAAACATTGTTCCTACTAGCATGCTTTGCAGACCTAGCCTTTTGCTGGCGCAAGTCAGTTCCAATGTTCGATGGTCTCCGACGCTGAAGGCCCTTTTCGACGCCACCGCAATGGCCTCCAACCTAATATGTTGTACATTGTTGTACCAACTTGTTCCTAGTAGCTTCTTTGCTCCTAGTAGTAAGGCCAGGAGCCCCTAGTAGCGTTCTTGTTCCTAGTAGCGATGCCAGGAGCCCCTAGTAGCGATGCCCTTGTTCCTTGTAGCCCTAGGTTGGACGTCGTGGTTGCCGCTTGGCCCACTGAGCTTCTGGCGAATCCTCGGCGTTCTTCTCCAATGGCCTTACGAACTCCTTCCGGCAAGTGAAAGACAATCCAATCCAACCTGGTGCAACCCAATACGCACTTGTTCCTAGTAGCTTCTTTGTTACTACTAGTAAGGCACTTGTTACTACTAGCGTGGCACTTGTTCCTAGTAGCGATGCACTTGTTCCTAGTAGCTTCAAGCGCAGTACCAGCATCTCTATCCTTCTTGTCAGATTGAACATTTGCACCTGTCCCACTTCTGATGGACAACACATGGCAAAGGCCCCTGCGTTTCTGGCGTTTTACCCCACCGTTTTCAGATGGCGCCGTGGCCTGATCGAAATCTCTGCAGGATCCGAGGTATCCTGGAAGGATAAAGCCTCAGCGCGAAGGTATCGGCTTGAAGGAACGCTTCAGATCACGTCTAGGAACGCGAAGAGCTTCGGAAAGGCCTGCAGTTCTGGTGGTCCACTTGTGTTTGGGATTCGAATGGAAAGAAATCCCGAGTTGGCCATCATAAGACCACCCCTTTGCACACGTGGGCCGTCTTACGATTGCAAAACCAAGTAGCTGAAAATAGAGTACAGCTCTGCCAAGGTATTTTCAACGGGTGTTCCTGTGAGAGCAATCCTCACAGAGCCCACAGATTGCTCAGCTACATCAATAACAGCTCTCGTAATTTGGGCCGAGCGGTTCTTGATGGCTTGGCTTTCATCCAAAATCATGGCTCCAAAGCGCCTTCGCATAAAGACTTGATAGTCCTCACGGAGCAAATTGTAAGTGGTGAGGACCACGTCCGCATCGGCTCCATCGTCGGCCGTGCCGCCGTCGGAGTCCGTCGAATTCTTGGGTAGCAAGCGATTCGGCCCGTGGTACGTGAGGACGTGCATTGAGGGTGCCCAGGTGCGAAGCTCATTGGCCCAGTTGTTGAGGATGCTTAAAGGCATGACCTGGAGGCCATCGCGATTTGCACCTCAACTTAAAAACCTTGGGGGACAAAACGAAAACATAGCAAATATCATCAAGCAAGCCTTTCTCAATCAAATTCGGCTCACGACCAAAGCAGGATGCAGTTTCTTCCCCAACTTTTGATGTTCTTTCAAATGTAGAAGAAGAGAAATGGTCTGCAAAGTCTTTCCCAAACCCATGTCATCCGCCAACAAACATCCAAGGCCATTTCGCACATTGGACGCCATCCAAGCAAAGCCCAAGGTTTGATACCTCAAAACGATGAGCCCAGGATGATGGTTGGAGGCCATCGCTATTAGGTTCGACGTCATTGGTTTTAGGTTGATGTGTTTTGCAAATCAAAACATTGGCGAATGTGAGGGGCCCAGTGACGCTCTTTCTCCCGATGTGCAACAGTCCAAGTCCAAACGCTTGGGCCACTACTAACAACCGACGCTACTTAGTAGCTCCTGGCCTTACTACTAGTAAAGAAGCTACTAGGAGCAAGGGCATCGCTACTAGTAACAAAGGGGCATTACTTCTAATAGCATTCTTACTACTAGTAACAAGAAGCTACTAGTTTCTACCTCCGAACGACCTTGCTACCCTAGACTTTGTTCCAACCCGCGGATCTGAGTCTAGAGTGGGTTCGCACAGTTTCAGCTCAAGATATTGGGACAAACACGGTTGTGGTTTTGTTTTGTCAAAATGTGATCTTAGAGCGTCCTTGTAGCGTCCTTGTTACTACTAGTAAGGCACTTGTTACTAGTAGCGTGGCACTTGTTCCTAGTAGCGATGCACTTGTTCCTAGTAGCGATGCACTTGTTAGTATGTTGATCATATCAAGACTTTTGTCCAAATATTCCCCTCTGCCCAGTCTGATCAACATGAGTGTGCTTTCTCTCGCATAAGGGATGACAGCTACTGTTGCGTTTGAGAAGGCCCAAGGAAAAAAACTATACAACCATGGGTAGCAGCCTGTATTTCAGCAAAGAAGACCTGGAACAGCATTCTGTAGCTAAAAAACTAATAGCGGTGGCGTCCAATCTACTAGCGATGTTCTCCGACGTAGTAGCAAACTATATTGGATCTTTCTCCCTGTTTTTTTTCTTTGTTTCTAATAGCAATGGCCTCCAACCTAATAGCGA